CTTAGCAATTTGGTTTGAACTTTTTTTTTTCTAAATTCTTTTTTTTTTTTAAATCTTTTTAAATCTCTTTAAATCCTTTCTCATGCCATCAAAATATTTATAGATGATATACCCGAATTAATAGAAAATATTCTTAATAATTTAAATAATAAATTTTATTCCTTATATGGTATTTGTTCACTGTATGTATTTTCTTTTCATGAATTTATTATCGATATGAACTGGGCTTTATTTTTACTAAATTCATCATGTGCAATGTTCTCCTTAAATAAAAACCTAAAAACATGAATTCTCCAGAACACGTTAAAAAAAAATGTCTTTACGAAATAAAAATATTACAAAAAAAGCCCATATTGGTAATAAAAAGGTTCGGCATAACTGGAGTATTCGTGAAAAACTTATGGTAATTTATTACTTCGAACATTTTAAAAATGTGAGAGCAACTGCAAAGTGATTTGATATTAAACCTAAACAAGTTTGTGACTGGCGAAGCAAGAAACAAGAACTTCTAAATTCCACATCTTATCTTTTAACTCTTAATCGTGACCGACCAGCCCAGTATCTACTTTTAGAAAGAAGGTTGGTTGAATGGATTGAAACTCTCTATAATAAACAGATGGCTATTATATGAAAAATGGTTATTACAAGGGCCAAACAATTGGTTCAAATTAATGAAATAAAGGATGCATATCTTAACATTAGAGATGATTTTAAGTTTTCTAATGGTTGGCTGTGTGGATTTTTGTATCATAATGAGTTATTAAATCGCTGACATATAACAGTTTCGTAATATCTTCCTGAAGACCTCATTAATCTACAAAATGAGTTTTTGAGTTTAGTTTTGTTCAAATGCTGCCAATACAATTATGATATCTATTACATTAAAAATATAGACAAAATACCTTTGTCCTTTGACCTCCCATACCCAGTAACTCTTGATAAACATGGGACCAAAACAATAGCTATCTGAACAACTGGACATGAGAGAGGATTTAAAGAGATTTAAAAAGATTTAAAAAAAAAAAAGAATTTAGAAAAAAAAAAGTTCAAACCAAATTGCTAAG